TCACATACATATTATCCCGCTACAAGTTGTAGTAATAGAAGATATTAAATCTTTCCTTTATTTATAGTCTCAATATAATCAACCGCTTTCGCGTATACTTTGGAAACTGAATAAGTTTTTTTGAGACTTACTACAACACAATACCTTATTGGTAATTAATTGTGTTTCTCCAAAATAGTATAATTGGCTCTTGAAGAGTTCTCAATTAATTTTTGTAGTACCACATGTTCATCAACACCCATATGGTAAATATCTCTTTTAAAGAGAAAGTTATACCATTATGGTTATGGTCAAAATTATATGCAAGATCTGTTTCTTGCATTACCGTTATCTTTTAACAATCACAATGCCAAAATATTTTGGCGTACAATAGGTACGTAACCAATGACCATTCATGCCATAATAATGACATTATTTTCTTATATCATCTCAAACCTCCTTTTAGAGGTGAGTGCAATATATTCACTACCACTAGCACGTTCATATTCTTTGAAGAATGAATATGTATTCATAAATCAGATGTTGTCACATTCACATCATGAATGGACCATAATCATCTATAGGTGCTTTACAAAATCTCATATCAAATCGATGACAAATATTTTTCACAGAGTTAAAGATTATTTTGAGAATCCTTATTGTTCTCATTACCACAAATGATGACGATTATAATTTCGTCTATTGCCATGTCCATATCCATTGATACATTCATAGTAATAATTTTGTCTTCTTTCAGACTTATCATACTGCTATCACTTTCTCTTAAGGAAATGAAAATGGAGCAAATTCAATGGGACGGATTTTCAATTCTTTGCCCACAATCATACATGAATTTGATCATGGCGAGGCATAGAAATTTTAAAACTTCAGGTGGTTATAATTTCTTAAAAACTCCATTAGAGTTATAATCATACTTTGTTGTCTTTGCTTGTATTTAAAATCAAAGTATAGAATAAAAGAGAAAAATACGGTAAAATACTTACCTTAAATCCAGAATTTAATCATGAAGGAAGTTCATGGAATAATTGACAATCATCATGCTCAATCCCAAAGCTTCTACTCAATTGGTTAGAGTCTCGTGCTGATAACGTGTTATAAAACAATAAAAGAAGAAGAAGAGTATTGCAGAGAAAAGTAGAGGGAGAGAATTCTTATTGATTTGGGATCAATTACAATGGAATAGAACCCTCTATTTATAGGGATAGTCTGACTTAGCCACCAAGTAATAAACCCTAGAATCTCTCTAAATATAGACATTCACCATAAATAAAATTCTATTTATAACATTTTGCTATTACTTGCTATCAAGGCTTCTTTCACCTTCATTAGCCGAGGGTCTATTGGAAACAGTCTCAAAGGGCAGGGGTAAGGCTGCGTACATCCTATCTCCCCAGACCCCACTTGTGGGATTATACTGGGTGATTGTTGTTGTGGTGTTAAAACTTAAGGGGCAAAAGCTTAATAGGGTCATGATATTTGTGTCGCAATAAAAACTTCTCATTAAGGGTAAAATGAGTTAAATGAAAAGTTTAAAGTTAAATTATTTCTAAATATAAAAATGTATCATTTTTACAAAAATACTAATATGGAAAGTGTGTCATTTAAATTGAAACAGATGGAGTAATAAATACGAGGGAAAACAATGTATTTTATATTTACTAATTTAATATAATATCTCGTGAAAATCGGTTATTCTTTGAAAAGAAAAAAAAAATCTGACCAGGACTCAGGATCCTTGTGATTCACCTCTAATTTATTTTTATGCAATATCCGTGTTTGATTCGATAAGGCAGATTTAAAAAATCTTAAGTCAACAATTTCAAAATATCAGGAACTTATATTTTCTTTTGTAGTGATACGAATGAATTTAATACAAAATGTATAATTTCTAGGAGAAATTTAAAGTATAGGTTATCTAGACAATGAAATGAAAATTATATCCGTCCGTTATTTCATTTCAATAAACGTCTCGAAAAGGATGAGATAAAAAATATTTCTTGTTCACGTTTAATAAAGTAAGCACAGAAAAAAGGAACTTTGTTCTCTTTTAGTTATATATACTTTTTGCAATCAAACGACAAAAAAGAAAAAGAATAACAAGAACAAGCAGTTCTTCTCACTTATTCTTATTTATTTGCTTCATTTTCAAGGAAGCTGTGATGATTTTATCATTTTATGCCAACATATTGCAGCAGCCAGCAGGTAACTTGGGGTTTTTGATAACTTCGACGAACTTAAGCTCCATTTAGTAAAGACTGTTGACCATTTTTAGTTTTTTAACTTCCTCTTGCGCTAATAACGATACACGATTTTTTTTTAAGTAGCAACTAGCAACATATTTGATAGGGTACGAAACTTAAGAGAAAAATTTGAAACTTATCATCTAAAATAAATTATAAATATTTATATGACTATAAAATTATGTCATTAAAGATAAATAAAAAGTTTAAAATTAATTATTTATAAAATATAAATTATATTATTCTTTTTTAGATATATTATAGATTAAAATGAAAATTACACATAAAAAGTAGTAATAATTTTCAATGAAAATGTGAAGAAAACTTAAGTAAGGCCTCATTTGTTTGCACTTAATGGAGGTCTGAATCTTAATTATTCAGATCTCGGACATTAAGTGCGTTTGTTTTTAAACTCTGAATCTTAATTATTCATATCTTAATCATCAAGTGCTTTTTTTTTACTTCATAACCACTTAATGGGTCTGAATATGTTTGTATGATTAAGATCTATAACAGAGACTTAATTTCATTAAGATTTTATCATCCATATTCATTATTAACTACCGTCACTGCCTATTATTATCTATTATCACCATACCACCCACCACCACCATACTCAACCACCACCACCACCATCATCCTCAATCATAGCCGCCGCCATTATCGACTACCACCACCCACTATCCCTACCACTCCCACCACCATCGTTCTCAACCACAACCAACACTCATCCACATCAACTACCATAGCTAGCCACTCCATTACTATCAACAACCATAGCCGGCATTATCCTTCATTATAAACTACCACCACCCGCTACAACCTTCCTCAATCACAACTACCACCACCCGCTATTATTAACTATCACCACCCACCACCATCATCTTGAATCATAATCGCCATCAATACCAATCACCACTAGCTACTACCCTGAACCACCACCATCAAACCAAATCTACCACCAACCATCGTCTCTTGTCGGCATTAACAAGTACTACCGTTAGTCATTGCCACCAGCAACTATTACATTTTTAAAAAATAATATATTTATTGATAGAATATTAGATTAATTAGTATGATGAATTTTATATTTATTAATTTTCAAATAAAGATAAATTTTATGTATTCAGATGTTAAAAATCAAACAGTCTTAATCATTTAGTATTCAGATCTTAATACACATCTTAATATTCAGATGTGTATTCAGATTCAGACGTCTTAATCTTAAAAAAAATAAATGAGGCCTAAATACACATCATCAGTGGTAGGCAACGAACTACCTCTATTCCCAACTTATTAGGGAAAGGCTAACTCCTGAGGTTGGGATGTTATTTTTCATGTATTTTTCTGTTTGGTCATGGATTTTGGCTTTATTTTTTTATTAAAAAAACATTGGAAACATAGGACCGGCTTCGCGACACCTTTCGGCCTATTCATGGCTATGCTCTATTGGGCGGACAATTACCTTGTTTGAACTATGATCATGTTTTGGAAAAAAAAATTAAAAATTTTCTAGTTCCCAAAATCTAATTTAGGGCAGTTTTTGGGTGACACTCACGAAATTTCAACTTTTCTTCAAGTAAAATGCATGTCCAAACACAACTTCAACTTTCAAAAATTATTTTTCAACACAACTTCAAAAATTCTTTTTTCAAGCATCAATCAAATCTATGTCCAAATACTAGCTACATATTTGATTTAGAATTAGCAACCAGGATACTTGGAAGCGCGTTGAAAAAAGATGATACTACTTGAAAGCGCGTGACCTTTCATTCGTACTTCAACTTTTATTTCCATTACCAGCTTTTTTACTATTTTCAAATAAAATTTTTATAATTAAAATAATATGAAGGACAATATGAAGATGTAACGAATAATTCGATTATGTCAATTTTGTGGTGTGAACACTTAAATACTGAGATGCTTTCCCCTAGCTCAAGCAAAGAGATCTAAAAACACTACCTTCTACCCAACAAGGTAAAAAAGTCACTTAATCATCAGATGTTATTTTTTCTGCTCAATAGAGAAAGTTACCTGAGTTGGTGAGGGTTAATTGAAGATGAAATTTTTTGGGCCTTCTCATACCAATAAAACTTGTTGGGCTTATTTTGTCAAAGCAAATTCGATAGACCAAGAACCCAATAATGAATATTTCCACTAATAAATTCTAGAAAATGCTCAAAGAAGGCTTATTCATGTAATAGTACGTTCTCCAATTAATGTACTTCTGGAAGTGTTTGCTAATATTATACAGGAAGTTTGTTAATAAGTAATTAATCTGCTGAAAATGTGCTTTTCCAAGCTTCTAGCTCGCCTGCTCCTGGTTTGGTGGGATCCGATAATGAATTCAATTGGTAAAAGAGCAGAGGTTTCCACTTGACGAGTGAAGCTAATAGCCTCATTTCAACTCCGTGCGGGCAAGGAGCAATTCATTGGATTGTGCTTAAAGACCAAAAGGATGTGAAGAGTTGTGATCCCTCAATATTTTATTGGCAAAATGCATGGTTTACCCATCAATCTTTTAGTCAAATTTCTATTACACACCCAATAAACACAGGTATATTACACGCGATTGACTTACCATTAACCATTATAACATCCGACCCATCTTTCTAATAAACTTATTACATTACCCGACTCGACCCACTCCGATTAAAAGCCTAAGTGCAATTAACCCCAAACACAAATTCCCCATTTATCAACTCTTCTTTCTTCTTCCATTAAAGGCGTTGAAGGAGATCTGTCCAGTACATGTGGATGTGATCTGCATCGGGTAATTTTATCATTCACAAGCGGTTGATTTCAAGTCCTTCAGGTGAGCATGCACATTTTATCCGTCCAGTGCATGTGGGTTTTGTTTTTTGTTATCTATCTTAGCCGATTTAGGGTTTCATACTTTTCTGAAGGGGAATCCTTTGTCATTCTCAATGTTACTTTCTATTTGCCGTGTTTCTACTTTTTAAGAGTATTTATTATTGGTTGTATTCGACTCTTTGTAAATGGTGTCTAAAGTTAGGATTTTTCTAGTTTTTTATTGTTACACTTAATTTTTAATATTGTGAATTGCTTTGGTTTTACGTGTAGCTTTTTTATTTCTTTATTCATTACAGCTTTGGCTCTATGTGTAGCTTTTTATTTTTTTTATTCATTATTGCATGTGAGAGTGAATTCTATTGCCCCATTTTGCAAGAAAAATGTCTTTTAAACTGATTACATTAAAAAATCATGATGGGGTGTTAGTTCCGGATACTTTTGCTCGTTTTGTGGGGTTTGGTCAATCATTGACCTTAGATGTAGATGTGGATATGTTATCTTTTTTTGAGCTTATGACTACACTAAACAAATGGGGTTAAAATTTTTACTGAGTTGTATATTGTCCCATGGACAAAGCTGATAAATTGGTAAATGTACTAGTTGATAAGGATATATTAGACATTTTAAATGAATTGGAGGATGGGGATACCCTAGACATTTATGTCACACATGCTGCCCCATTTAATGATTATTGACAAAAATACTATTGGGACAGGGGTTGGTAGGACAAATAGTAAGGTTGATAAAGTCACTATAAACTTAGAAGAGCAAGAAGGAGAACCTGTTGAAGAGGGGGAGATAAAGGAAGATGATGAATGTGAGCTTGATGATGAGAATGACTCAAATTTTGATAATTCATCTGTGTTTGAGAGTGGTGGAGTTAATGTATATGTTCATGATGATAATCAATATGGTTCTGATGTACATGAAGAGTTTGGAGAGTACAGGGAAGTGTTGAGGAAGTATAGGAGAAAAATGAGTGAAAGGCCTAAAGATAAGGGTGACATAAATCTAAGAGATGCTGGTATAGACAGTAGGTTTGATGAGTTGAGGGCCGAGAGCAATGAAAATAGGTATGAAGGGTTAGCTGCGGCTGATAAACCATATTTTGGTTCTTCTGATGCTGAAAGTTTTGCTTCAGATGAGGAAACTGAGTATGATGAAGAACACAAGAGAAAAATTGATGCAAAGAAGAGAAAAAAATATGATATTTGATCCAATTGTCAAGAAAATAACATGGGAGTTGGGCCTTATTTTTGAAAGTGTTACTGAGTTTAGATGGGTTGTATCCAGATATGCTATCCAAAAAGGAGTTCAAATTGAAAATATCATTGAGATGAACCTGGTAGGGTGAGTGTAAGATGCAAGGGTAGCTGTCCATGGAATCTGTTTACTAGCGAAGATGGCAGATCTAACAATTTCAAAGTGAAGAGGTATTGTCCTATCCATAAGTTTTATAAGACCAATAAGAACAAGCTTTGCAACTCTAAATATCTATCAAAGAATTATAACAACAACAACAACATACCCAGTATTATCCCACACCGTGGGTTCTGGGAAGGGTAGTGTGTCTGCAGACCTTACCCCTACCTTGTGAGGATAGAGAGGCTGTTTCCAATAGACCCCCGGCTCATGAAAGATTAAGCATCCCATTAATAAATATATAGACAAGAAGGGACAGTAGCAAAAAGCCATATAAAAGCAGAATACAAACAACAAGATATTAAGGTGATCAACAATGAAAAGAAATAACGGCTAGTCATAAAAATCCTACTACCAACAGAAAGCGAGACTGCGTGCCAATACTACTGTTATAAACACTCTAGATGACCTACTCTACTACCCTAATCCTCGACCTCTATACCTTCCTATCAAGGGTCATGTCCTCGGTCAGCTGAAGCTGCACCATGTCTTGCCTAATCACCTCTCCCCACCTCTTCTTTGGCCTACTTTTACCTCTTCGTAGGCCCTCCAGTGTCAACCTCTCACACCTCCTCACAGGGGCGTCTGTACTTCTCCTCCTTACATGACCAAACTACATAAGCCGCGTTTCCTGCAGCTTATCCTCAATAGGGGCCACACCCACCTTGTCGTGAATAACCTCGTTTATGATCCTATCTAACCTGGTGTGCCCGCACATCCATCTCAACATCCTGATCTCTTCTACCTTCATCTTTTGAACATAAGCGATCTTGACTGGCCAATACTCAGCACCATACAATATCGTTGGCCTGACCACCATTCTATAGAACTTACCTTTAAGTTTCGGTGGCACCTTCTTGTCACATAAAACACCATAGGCGAGAGTCTCCATTTTATCCATCCCGCCCCAATACAATGTGTGACATCTTCATCAATCTCCCCACCCCTCCTGAATAATAGACCCAAGGTACTTAAAACTTCCTCTCCTAGGGATGACCTGCGAGTCAGCCTCACCTCCCCTTCCCCTCCTCGAGTCTCGCCACTGAACTTATACTCCAAGTATTCTGTCTTGGTCCTGCTCAACTAGAAACCTTTAGACTCCAGGGTCTGCCTCCACACCTCTAATTGTGCGTTTACACCATTTCGCGTCTCGTCAATCAATACAATATCATCTGCAAATAGCATGCACCGTGAAACCTCCCCTTGGATGTGGCGCGTCAGTACATCCATCGCCAGAGCAAACAAAAAAAAGGTTAAGTGCCGACCTTGTTGATACCCAATTTTTCCCTATATATTTTTAATACACATATATACTTTCAAAATAGCATATATGCATAAGCTTTTTTGTAATTTTTCTATAATTTTAAAGGCTTTAAATTGATTTATTTCTTCCCCTTTTACTTACAAAATTTCCAATAGTTATCTTTCAAACTATTGTTGTGGTAATTTAGCCATCTAAATTTTATATTCATGCCAAAATATTGCTTAAATATTTTTAGTGCATTTTTTATAATTGCATTTACATTTTTAAAGCCAATTTGCATATATTTGCAATACTAGCCTTATTAATGCATAATTACGTTATCAATGCATAAAATGATCTTTTATATTTTAAAATATTAAATAACTATTTTTAATTATTTTCAGTACAAGAAATATTTTTTAGAAATAATTTTATTACTTTTATAAATTTGTATAGTACTGAAAATGGCTATTTAAAACTTAGCCAAATTTATTTCAATTTCAGCCTAAATTCAACCCAATCCAATCCCAATACCCAACCCAATTTCTGATCAGACTACCCGACCCAAGCCCCAAATACATTTACCCGACCCAGGCCCCCTTAATCTTGGCTGTTGATCTCCGAGATCAACGGCCCGGATTCACCCTTTCCTAATTAAACTAGATCAACGTTGGTCGCTTTTTTCCGGAATTCTAATAGTGATAAACAACGTAACAGCCCCCAAACCAAAATGAATGTGTTTTAGATGCATGCTCAGTGATGATATGGAAAATACTTACCAGCATCCCGTATTTATACCAAATTAGACAATTTAATCTTNAATTGATTTATTTCTTCCCCTTTTACTTACAAAATTTCCAATAGTTATCTTTCAAACTATTGTTGTGGTAATTTAGCCATCTAAATTTTATATTCATGCCAAAATATTGCTTAAATATTTTTAGTGCATTTTTTATAATTGCATTTACATTTTTAAAGCCAATTTGCATATATTTGCAATACTAGCCTTATTAATGCATAATTACGTTATCAATGCATAAAATGATCTTTTATATTTTAAAATATTAAATAACTATTTTTTAATTATTTTCAGTACAAGAAATATTTTTTAGAAATAATTTTATTACTTTTATAAATTTGTATAGTACTGAAAATGGCTATTTAAAACTTAGCCAAATTTATTTCAATTTCAGCCTAAATTCAACCCAATCCAATCCCAATACCCAACCCAATTTCTGATCAGACTACCCGACCCAAGCCCCAAATACATTTACCCGACCCAGGCCCCCTTAATCTTGGCTGTTGATCTCCGAGATCAACGGCCCGGATTCACCCTTTCCTAATTAAACTAGAGTATACCCCCCAAAACCTAATTCATTTCAACACCTCCCACGCCGCCCTAAAATCCTCTCTACTCTCAAAACACTCTCAACCCAAACCCTAATCTTCCAACGCCGGCCTCCCATC